ATAACAGATTTTCCTCAAATTCATTTGGATTGCAAGTATCTTCTTTTGAGACATTTTCACAAACACGTTGTTGGCGGGGCCTTTTTGGAAAACTAGTGTGTACCCGTGCGATGCACGGAAACAATATTAAATCAACAATATTATAAATAGACATCGAGTTTGAGTTACTAAGTGGAAACTACAATTGATTCTATTTAAAAAAAGGAAGAAAAAAAATAATTATAAATTAAAGAGGAGGATAAACAATACTTAATAATTATAAATTAAAGATTCAGGGTCAAACAATGTAAAATTATTTTGTATAAGAGAAAATAAAATTTACATTATTTTGTATAAGAGAATATAAAATTTGGATGTTTAATATTAAAACACCTAAAATGTTATATTAGTATATGTAAAAGTATTCAAAATTTTCTATATTATTTTTGCAAGATGTGAAGTCACCTATAACTTTTCTAAACAATTTTAGAAGGAAAACATATCTAAAAACATTTAAATTTAATATTGTGTAAAAAAGATTTTTCTAGACTGTTTTGTAAAGAAAACATGTCTAGAAATATTTAAATTTAACATCAATTATGTATATGTGTGTGTGTATATATATATATAGATATATATATATATATATTATATATGTAGGATGTGGTTCAAATGAGAACCAAGTCCCAGCGTGAGAACCGTGAGAACCGCTATTTTTAATTGTATGTAATGCTATGATTAATTGTGTTCTATTGTTATTTTTAACTAGGATGTATTTGATTAAAAATAGCAATAAAATTTTTATTAGCATTTGTGAAGAATGATAGCACCATGCAATATTAAAAATAGCATCATATGCAATTAAAAATAGCATCAAATATGGTTCTCACGGTTCTCACACCAGACCTAGTTTTTATTTGAACCAGCCCCTATATATGTATATATGTATATATATATATACATATATATATATATGTATATATAGACGAATATGTAAAAAAAATGTCTAAACAATTTGTTTAAAATATCTAAAATGTTATAAGCCTAATTTAATAAAGACATTCAGATGATACTGAATTTATGGTGTTACTACCATCTAACAAAATTGATTACACACAATTTTAAAATTATTATTATACTTTTTACGTTGTTATCGAGGATGTATTGTTAGTTTATAATATTTGTAAAAATATTAGTAATTAGACCGATGAGAATTAAATGGGTCATATTTTATTTTTTTAAATAAGGGATGAAATTTTGAGTACCATAAAAACAGGTAAAAGAAATATAAATATTTACCGGCGGTTTTGAGTACCAAAAAAATAGGAAAAAGAAAAACAGATATATACTGTCACCGGCGGGCGGTTTTGAGTATCAAAAAAAAGGAAAAAGAAAAATAGATATATACAGTCAGTTTTTGAGTACCAAAAAAAGAGAAAAAAGAAAAACAGATATATACCTGCCGATTTTTTTGCCTAATCAAAATTAACCAACAATTACTATATATAGGATACATTTAATGATATTGCGGGAAAAACTTGCTAAATTTGTAAAAAAGTTATTCTTTTTATATAATGATACATATCTCTCCATAACTGATATAGGAAAAATAATATTATAAATTTACAATCAATGAAATTCTCTTCTTTTACATATCAAACATTAAATAGCTATAAGTATCTTAGGGTTTGAATTTGCAATTTCTACATAAAAAGAATATATTTACCGCTACCTAAAAAATAAAAAAGAAAATAATTTCATCTCCACCAGTATAAACATAAAGGGATTACGTTATCTCGCAAGTCGTCTTCTCGAACAATTAAACAAGAAATTGATAAGCTTTTTTATTTTTTTCTCTCTTCCCCACTCCTCCCCTTTTTTCTATCGCAGTCTCGCTCGCTCTGTTTTTTTTTTTCTTCTGTACTTGAAAGGCTTCAATTAAATTTATGTTAGTGTTAAATATTTTTGTTAAATATATTAGCCCCTGGCCCTCTCACTCTGTACGTGAAACGGAAAGGCTTTATAAATATATGTTAGTGTTGAATTTTTCGTTAAATTAATTTAGCAGTAATTAATTGTAATTGGGCTTATTTACATGGGCTGTACATATAAGGTTTTTTTTTTTCAATGTGGGCCTAGGGCCACACTGTTCATCATTAGCCTACGCCCCTGCCTATCCTTCCCATCCATGAAAGCAAAATTGTCCATAATGAACTAAATGTACTGATAAATCATTATAACACATTATTAATGTAAGTAGGTTAAATTAGTGTACGTACATTGTAAACTTTTCCCTGATTTTTTACCTGACAAATGGCAATTATATATTGCATAAATTATGTCAGTATCTGAATTAGGATCACTTAACGTTATATCTTCACAAATATATATTTAACAAAGTATATTTTGAAAAATCTCTATGATACATATAGAGCTATCAAAATGATCCTGGGCCTGCAAGCCGGCCCACCCCGCCCTGTAAAAAGTGCGGGTTGAGCCTGTTTTTTCTAGGCCTGTTAAGACTACTTTTATTGGTGACCCCAAAGAGTGGGTCACCGATTAAAAACTCAAAAAAAAAATAAAAAATAAAAAATAAAAGCAATAGGTTGTGCAACCGAGGTCACAATGTGACCCAAGGTTGCAACCGGTTGCTTTTTAAAAGTGGACACTTGTCCCTCTTTTGTTGGTCAAATATATTTTTTTTTGTTTTAAAAAAATAAAAAATAAATACTAAAATTTATATTTTTTTATTCTCTACAAATAGAGACCACACTTGATATATTTTGGAATACAATTGTATTTTTTAGATAAATTAAAATAAAATAAATATTTAGGTTGAGTTGGGTTGGGGATAAAGATAAATTTGATTGTAAGGTTGAGTTGTATAGGTGGAGGAGAGAGAAATAATTTTTAATTATTAGGTTGGGTTGGGTTGGGTTGGGTTGGGGATAAGGATAGTCTAAGGAGCGAGCGTAAACGGACAAGCCCACGCCGGCCGAGGGCTGGGATGGGACAGGCTGACCCACATTTTGGCCCGTTTATTATATATATATGTGTGTGTGTGTGTGTGTGTGTTAGTCGACCAGGATTAAGTGAAATCCTAATTGGAATCAGAGTAGTTCAAATCTAATCTTTTGGATAGGGAACAACCACGACAACCAGGGGCAGAGGCAAGTATAGATGTGCCCGGGCTGTAGCCCAGGTGGCATTTCCACCAATCCATTAGTTTTATTATAAATTCTTTACACTTTTGTTTTGAATTAGCCTGGTGGGCCGTGATGCATCAACTTAGACCCAAGGTTGTCAAACTCAAACCGGTCATCGAACCAGTCAAGTTGTTGGTTCAATGGTTCACTGGTCTGACCAATGGTTGAACCGGTTGAACTTTTATTTAGTTTATTAATATTTTTAAATATATAATATTTCATAAATATATTTAACCTAATTTTAAGTTATTTAATTTATTGATATTTGAAAATATATAATACTAAATACTAATGAGCTCATTTACATGATTATAATCAAAATTTATAGTCATTAAAAATAAGAAATTTTTGACGATTTTTTATTTAAAATGAGGTGGAATTAGATTTTCATACGCAACATATAGTTATTAACTAGAAATTAATAACAAAGTGTATGCGTGTGTTTTTTAAAAACAATAGGACAAAATCAAAAATTATGAAAAAAGAAAATTTCCCATTTCGAATAAAAGGTGAGATGGAATTCCCAGGCTCCACCCACGTTAACATTTGAAATTCTTGGGTTTTTAACTAAATTTGGTGTAGGCTGAGTTTTTGGGAAAGTAATGGGCTGACTGGGCTTGGGTGATAAAGCTCTTTACATACTATAGGAAAAAACTTCTCTTTGATAGCGGTCATAGGGGAGTTCAGAAATATTTGTCTACTTGTCCCACATCGCTTTACATAAAAGGTGAGTTGCATTATATATGTGTTAGAATTTACTTTTGCTTTACCAAACCAACAAGCACAGAGCGGTCAAACCGTCCGGTTTTTGACCGGTTTTATCCGATTTTAATCGGTTCAACCGGTCATTGACTGATTTTTGACCGGTTTTGCCCACAGCTGGTTTGTTCTAGAGAACCAAACCAGTGAAGTGACTGGTACACGGTTCAACCGGTCGGACCGGCCGGTCCGGTCCGGTTTTGACAACCTTGCTTAGACCATTGACTATTTCATGTAATGTGTTAAGATTTCTTAGAAATATTAATATCTTTTTTTCTCAATATTACATGGTGTTAAAAAAAATTATTTTATTTATAGGTAATTGGATAACATATTTGAGCGATGTAGTAATAAACACTTAGTTAGTTAATTGTTTAACTTGTTGGAATATCACTTGTGAGTTGTCCCACATTGATTCTATAGGATAAATGAGCCTAGTATATAAGCCTAGTGAGCTACCCTCCCATCACCAATTGGTTTTGGGATGGAACCTCACTAAGGTGCACCTAAGCTCACCCTTTTATGGTGCGCTTCATCTGGTGGGACCGCACTCTCTTGTCCCGATTCTATAAATCTAATATGGTATCAGAGCGGGCCTGTCCTAGGACCTGCAATGACTCTCTCTACCCGGCCTGCTCTGGGCTTGGGCTTACGAAGGACCCACAAGTGAGGTGGCGTGTTGGAATATCACTGGTGAGTTGTCCACATTGATTCTACAGGGTAAATGAGCCTAGTATATAAGCCTAGTGGGCTACTCCTCCCATCACCAATTGGTTTTGGGATTGAACCTCACTAAGGTGCACCTAGGCTCACCCTCTTATGGTGCACTTCATCTAGTGGGACCGCACTCTCTTGCCCCGATTCTATAAATCTAATATAACTTATTAATTGTTATGTAAGACATAACTGATTTCCCCCTTTTCAGTTAGTATTTAGGTATTTTTTTTTTTTTTAAATCAAATGAATTTATCATTAGCACTCGAAATAAGTACAAATCGACCAACCAAAAGGTTGTGGTAAGGACACCAGCCTAAACAAAGCTATTTAGACAAGAGCCTACACAATGGACATGTCCACATGGACTCCCCTACCAGATCCAACACGGCCCCTAAAACCAGCACATCAAAATAGTAACAAACAGACTACAGCTACAAACACAAGAAAAAACTGAAACCAAAAGACCTAATACAGCAACACAACTACCCAGCAAAACATATAGTCACAGCAACACCCTGCAAATGCCAACATCAAAAGGAAACTAGACTAAAAGTACAGACTCCATCATATCGAAACAATAAAACACATCAGCGGCCAAGACAACAATACTTGATTCAAAGCCTTCTCTAGCATGCAACAGTCTGAGTAAGTGTTTTTTCTGAATGTGGATCTCTACTCTTTTCCATCCTCTAACCAGTCCATCTTTCAACCATCTCCGATGTTTCACTAGCACATCCTCCACTAAATAGCACCTGCCCTCATCCCTAGAGTATTGCCAGCTGTGAACTTCCAGAGCCATCCCCCTGGTTTGTCTCCTCACCCTGTCATCACCAGTATGAAGAGCTGTAGCACTGGTTGACAGTTGAGTCAACCCTACTCCCTGTTCAACACCCGGATCCTGACAGCCATCTCCAAACCTTGCTGTTGTTCTCCCATCACCACTGCCCCCTTTAATATCTACATATTCTAACCATTCCCGCTTAGACTTTTCCACCACATCAATCTCCATACTATGAGCCTTGTGAAATATCCAGTTGTTACGAGTCTTTTAGAGCCACCATAACAGGTAAGTAGATAAAGAAATTCTATCCCTGTTATGGCCCTCATCTGTCAATTCACATATCTCCTGCCACCAAGACTTAAAATCTTCTACTGGGCTCTAAATACTAGACCATTGCAACCCTGCTATTTTCAAACTTTTTGAGCTCTAGCACAGTGGAAAAATAGATGGTCTAGAGTCTCCTCAGCTTCTCCACACCAGCAGCAGATATCATCACCCCTCACACATTTCTTCTTCAGATTATCCATTGTTACCAGCCAGTTGTTGTAGCACTTCCATATAAAGTTTCTAATCTTGGGTTTGATTGGCATGCTCCAAGTCTTTCTCCATAACTTCTTCTTCTGCTCTGATGCCCTGCTTGACTCTGCTTCCTGAGATGCTCCACTCTTCACTTTCCGAATCAACTTATAAGCACTCTTAACTGAAAATATAACTTTTTTGTCCAAGTGCCATATGATTCTGTCTCTCATCCCAGTATGACTAATATGAATTTTTGTGATATTTGCAGCATTACCAGGATTGAAAGTCTGCATTATCAACTCAGTGTCCCACTCCCTTCCATCTGCAGTCATAAGGTCAGAATGTTTACAGATTCTGTTCTTATTTCCTTCAAAGCAGCATACAGGTTTAAAAAACAGAGCATCAGACACCCAGGGACTGTTCCACACATCTATTGCCTTACCATCACCCACTTGGTACATGTACCCTAACTTAAGAAATTTTCTAGCCCCCAACCAACTCTTCGACATCCATGAATCACTATCTCTCTTCTTGACCTCTCACAGGTTTATATTATATAGATACTTGCCCCTAATCAGCCTACTCATAAGAGTATTAGGGTTAATCGGAACCCTCCACAACTGCTTCAAAATTAGTTCTTCATTGAAATCCACTAAGTCCCTAAAACCAAGACCACCCTCCCCCTTAGATTTAGCCAACACACCCCACTGAGCCCAATGGATTTTTTGGCCCCCCCTCCTCATTCTTCCCCCACCAAGATCCAGCAATCTCTCTACACAACTCCCTACAAATACTGACCGGCACTTTATACACAGACATGACAACACTCAGAATTGATTTAACAAGGACCTCTCTCCTAGCCTCACTCAGAAAAGAATTCTTCCAATTTGTAACCATAGCCACTACACACTCCCTCACAAAAGCAAAAGTGTCCCTCTTATTTCTTCCAATCCCTATGGGAAGCCCAAAATGCCACCACAATTTCATTCAGAGTTTGACAAATAGCCACTCTGATAGAATCAGGGGTGTTCCCAGAAAAGAAGATATTAGACTTACACAAGTTAAAAGATTGACCAGATGCATATATGTATTAAGAATTTGAAGCACAAGGGATGCATGATGTTTGTTGCCTGACAAAAAACAAGGGAATCATCAACAAAAAACATGTGAGAGATAGTGGAAGCATGAAAACTGACCTTAAGACCCTTAAAAGACTTTGACAGACAGGCCTGGTGTATCAAATTTGACAACACTTCAGATAGAATAATGAAGAGGTAGCGGGATAAGGGATCCTCTTTCCTCAATCCTCTAGAAGGTTAACATTTCCTTGAATTTGGCCATTAATATTGAAAGAAAAAGATAATGAACTAATGCATGACCAAATCCAAATAAAAAAAGATTCACTGAAGCCCATGTGTCTACAAACCCTAATAAAAAAACCCCACTCAACCCTATCATGTGCTTTTGCCATATCCAACTTTATTGCCATAACACACTTCTTTCCCTTTTTTCTACTGTTAAGAGCATTAATGCACTCATTTGCTATAATGACATTGTCTAAGATCATTCTACCTGGAACCAAAGCTGCTTGAGATTGGGATATGCAGACATGAAGAACAGATTTAATCCTATTGGCTAAGATTTTAGCTATCAATCTATAAGTAATGGTGCAAAGACTAATAAGCCTATAATCTGTAACTCTTTGAGGGAATTTGATTTTACGGATGAGAGTTATTACTGTATGATTAGTGGCTTTTGGAATGCATCCAGAATGGAAAACATTTGATATGGCACTGATAAGGTCATGCTTGATGATATGCCATGAGGATTGAAAAAACATAAGTGAAAATCCATCTATACTTGGTGCCTTGTGTGGGTCCATCTCCCACAGGGCTGCTTTGATCTCTTCCTCTACCACAGTCCTAGTCAGTCTCTGGTTCATAGCAGGGGTGATAGACTTTGGAATACCTTGCAACACTGCTGGATCAGAGCTAGGGTTCTGAGTTGTGAACAGTTGCTCAAAGAAATCTAATATCTCTGTCAAATAGTCTGCATCATTCTCACATCTTTTTCCCCATCTATTTATCAGCTGCTCCAGACTATTCATGCCTCTTCTTTGTCTGACACGGGCCTGAAAAAACCTTGTATTACTATCACCTTCTTTCAACCATCTAACCCTTGCCTTCTGTTCCCAATATATCTCCTCGTCCTTATAAGCCTGGTGTACTTGTTGCTTGCACTGAATCCATTCATCCCATTCCCTTTGTTCCCCCTATTGTCCCATCATCTCAAGTTTGGCATTGCAAGCTCTTATGGTATGAGCAGAGTTTGTACATTTCCCAGCTAACCACCCAAGAAGGCCCATTTTGACACACCTCAACTTTCTCTGAAACTTATAAACCCCTGTACCATTAACACTTGTAGTCGAGGCCTTATGGAGACAGTCAAGATACCCCTCCTCCTTCACCCATCTACTGTAAAAAAATGAATCTTTTCTTTTTGCTTTTACCATTTCCTTCAGTATCCATGAGTAGAATACAATTATCTGATGAGACTTGAGAGATGTGTTGAACTAGGGCATTTGGAAATGAGAGAAACCACTCAGAAAAGAGGAGAACTCTGTCAATCTTAACTTCAACAAAATCCTCCCATCTCCTGTTATTTGACCATGTGAAAGGGTGTCCTACACTAGGACACTCAATCCCATTCAAAGAAGACACAAACTCCCTGAAACCCTTAAAACTAGCTTCCCCTCTCCTCACACTCTCTCTCTTCTCATCATTATTGTACGCATAGGTGCGCTCTTGCTTATACTCTGCCCTCCTCCTTGTTGCATTACTTATAGCTTCCTTGTTCCTTATAACTTCCTTCTAAATTGGGGTTATCCGCTAAAAACTATGGCCAAGCATGTTATGAATGTCTGATGCAGTAGTCATTAGTGAGCATTTAGTATATGAGGATATTTACACTTCTTTTCACATACAGAAATACGGTCGGGATCATTCAATACAACGGTATGAACACAATACCAAAGCAAACCCATGGAAATTACCCCTTTATCAAAATCCCCAACGACAAACCACAACTTACCCCACTTATGCTGATGTTGATCTAAGAGGTCCCATTGGGATTGTCTCTCAACAGGTACCACACTGCCATAAACAAAAATAGCCCACCAAACTTCAGTTCCCCCTTTCCACCTAAAACCAACCTCAGTATTGAACTCAGAACATACACAATGAACAATATCCACATTCATGGACCAGCCCAACAAAAGACCACCTTTAGATCCTATAGGATCCACATAAACCCATCTATCGGCCATATTAAGGTTTTTACAAACAGTTTTAACAAAAGATTTTTTCTTTTTAGTTTCAGATAAAAATACAAAATCTGGGAGATAGGCCCTAAGGTTTGCCTTCAACTGGGGAATTGTAGAGGGTTCTCCCAAACTTCTACAATTCCACACCAAAGCTCTCATTTGGAACTTTGGGCCCAGTTATGGTTGGTTACCTTCACCTTTGAATCACTGCTAGACACATTCTGCTTATGTTTTTTGGAAACAGATTCTTGAATAACAAGATCAGACACCTCAGCATCAATTATGGTTTTCCTTTTCAAATTAGCCTTATCACTTTGAGGTTCACAAAAAGCTACCTGCTTATCAAGGTTATTTTTAGACTCAACAATTTTACTCCTGACAATCCTAACAAAAGACCTCTGACTCTTGGGAACAGGGGCCTGTTGTTGAATTTGGCCAACAGGAACATTTACAAGGTTACAAAAATCCATTTCATGTGCCTTTGAACTATCAAGGTCCATAGGTGCAAAAGAACTATAAACTAGCTTTTTATCACCCATTTCCTTGCCCTAAGAAATTTTCAACTCATTGTTGCTGCTAACCACCTATAGACTTTTACTACCCTGTTCTACCCCCTTGGATTGTTCACCCCCTCTCACCTTAGGCTCTGCAAACTATTCAGTTTCAATGATACCAGGTGTAACCTTGGGCTGCATCTCCCCTTCCACAGTTGCTTTTGCCTTACTAGACTCTGACTTGAAGACCTCCTCTCTCTAGGTTCAGAGATCCCCCCAAAGGATTACCTTAGCCACTCCACAAATTGCTCAGATTTCAACACACTTCTCTTAATGTCTGATTCTTCACCTCACATATTTTATCATAATGACCTTTGCGCCCACAATAAAAACAAAAAGTGAGAAGGTGTTCATACCTGAATTCCATCCACTGCTCCTCCTTGCCCAACTTTATTTTTGTGCCTCTGGGAATAGGTTCCAACAGATTCACTGCCACAAGAATTTTGACCATGTTCCCATTATAGCCAGCAACCCAGCTATCACAACATCAAGAACCTCATCAAAGATTCGCCCAATCTTCATTCCTGTTTCCTCAGATATCCAATGCAGTGGTAGTTTATGGATTTGCACCCATAGTTCCACTTTAATTTTTCATCACGAAACTCCACTTCATTTTTCTTCCATTCCTTTAGGAGCAGATACTGCCCATCGAACGACCACGCTTTGCCTGGAAGAACTTTAGTTCTATCTTCCACGGATTGAAAGAGAAATTGAAATAGATTTTACCTCAGTACTCTTATTGTAAATGGTTGTGAGGTACGCCATACGATTGTCATGGTTGTTTTCAAACCATTTAGATTCACCTTTTTCTCTCCAAATATTTTGCCTATTAGACTCAACTCACATCCTTGGAGACTTGGTTCTATGTCTGCATCAGAGAGTGCAACACCTGCTTTTTCCTTATCTAAAAGAGCAAACTTTGAGAGCTGTGCAACTATGTCTTGCGCCATATCACCATACTATATATCCATGCTCACTAGACCAGTAGCAGAATCGAGGATTCAAAACACCCTGCAGGACAAGAAAACAGTACAAAGCAGACATGTTAGATATAGGGGAAAAACAACACAACTGGGATAGAATCGCTATATGTGGGACTCGAATATGCACAATAGACCGAAAACCCAACCCTTCCCACAAGAAATCCCCCAGAAAAGCAACTAAAGTAAAACCCCCCGATATGACAAAGAAAACCCTAATTTAGCGCAGAGACACGAAAGAAAAGACACTGATGCCACCGAGATTCGATACGAGGTTAAGGGAGATGCGAAATAAGGAAGGAAAATGAACAAGAAAAATTAAACGTAGATTGGGAACACTCCATGTCAGATGGAACTTCGAACTCCAAAGGGAGAGGGTTTTCCATAGAGATGGAAATTAATAGTAAAGAAACATTTAGGTATATATATGAACTGGGCATAATTATTTCATAATTGGAATAAAATAAACTATAAAAAAATCAAAATTTAGTATGTGCTGCAAGTATTTGGGACATCCTAACAATAAGTACAATCTAAATTAATAGTAAAGAATACAGATTGTGGTAGCATAATTGATGTAGAGCGTGGTAGACAAAAGGGGTACGAGATATAAAATCACGTGAATATCGATAATCTTATGAATAAAACCTCTCCCCCTCTCGAACAGATGAAGGCCAAATATATAAGAATCCTACTTCCCCCTATTGCTACTTATCTTGCCTAACAAATAGGCTAGATAATTATTATTTAGTTATCAATAATAATCAAATACTAAGGGAATAAAATAAAAGGCTAAATAATACTAGGAAATAAATAAACTAAATACGAAGCCGGTCAAATTTATCCAAGAATACAATCGCGGTCTCGTCTCCATCATTCTCCCCCGGTTGAGAAGAATTCGGCCGCGAATTCGAAATTGTCTCGTCTCCATGTGTACAACTTTAATAAATTTAGAATCTTTCAACTTCGTTTCTTTGGCAATCCTTGTGAGCTCCCCAATAAAATATTTCCTCAATTTGGCATTGTCACAGAGGGCATTGCAGTCCCCAGACACACCAATTTGTGCTGCCCATTTCTCCACTGCTTGGATGTTGGGATTAATAATAGCAACAAGGAAATTTTGTGCTTCCCATTGCTCCACTGCTTGTTTGGTTGGATTAATAATAGCAACAAGAAAGGCCTCCCAATTGTTCCCGTATACCAATATCGAGACAATATCATAGACTTTCTCGAAATTTTCCACTTCCACATATTCTTCTCCTGAGTGTTTAAAATTATTCCTTCTGAAATAAACAAACTTCAAGCTCCCCTCAGGCTGCCATTCACCAATATCCCCAAGGAAAGGATTTGGCAGATCAAAGATTATTTTTTGTCCCACAAAATCAAGTGTAGATTCTGCATGGCACGTGAAGTATGCTATTGCTCCAGCACCCAAAATGTCAGACAAAGGAACACAATAGAGTTCATGAGCATTACAAGCCTCCATACTTAGAACCCACTCAGGAGAATTAGCACCATAAATTTCACACCGTCCTTTGTCCGCAACTCCACAGCTGCAAATGGAATTACCAATTTGCAGCACAATGTCAGAAACTTCTTTGTAAGTTACCCATATGTATTTACCTGGCATGCCATGCACAACTTCACGACGACCGGACATTCTATTATTGGGATATTTCTCTACTGACAAGCTAAAAGTGTCATCCTCAAAGGCACCACGCGAAAGAAAAAGGACAGATGACGAAGACGGACCCGACAAAGGTCGTGGCGGCCCTGGATGCAAAACGATCTTAACACCCCCAAAAAGGAAACTGTAGGTATTAAGGCGACCGTCATACGTAGCGGCACGATCGAACTGCCACGGACGGCCCAATAACAAATGGCAAGCATTCATCGGCACCACATCGCACCAAGTTTGATCCCGATACTTCGGCCCAATGGAGAAAGAAACCAAAACGCGACGGTCCACCGTGACCGCCGTACCTTTCTGGATCCAGGCAAGAGTATATGGCTGTGGATGAGGTTCCGTTGAAAGGCCAAGCTTTCCCACTGCCTCCTTTGCAAAGACATTCTCACACGATCCAGAATCGATAAGGAATCGGCACACGCGATCCCCCACGGTACATGTTGACTCGAAAATATGGTGCCGCTCCACCGGTTCGTTGGTTGAGTCCCGAGGCGCTAAACACGACCGACGAAGAACAAGGGCTATCCCGACATCGTCGGTAAGATGTTCCTCGACTAATTTCGGCTCTTCGTCAAAGATAGGAGGCCCATCATAAACCTCTGCCGCCGAAAAAGCTTCGATCACCTCAGCAAATAAAGCACGTGACCCCGCCACTTGTGGACATGCCGCTTGCCGGTGGCCGAAATCACCGCATCCAAAACAACGTGGCCCGCTGCCCGTACGCTGGCCCGCCAGAACTCTCGCAAAGACTGTCGCACTGCCCAGGCCCGAACAACCAGTCCGGCCCACGCTCTGGCCCGTGGACGCTGAAGTTGCACTCAGCCCGGCTCCTGGCCCGCGGTTCGCAGACAACCCCGAACTCTCAGCTCCTGTACCCGTTCCACCTCGTGCCATCGGAAAAAAATTCGAGGATGTGCGCCGTGCCTGCTGTTGTTCGACCATGACCGCACGTTGATGAGCATCAGACACCGTGTCCGGAACAAATAAGTTCAACGTGTCCTGAATCGAAATCCGCAAACCACCCACATAACGGGACACAAGCTGATCCATGGTCTCACGAATATCAATACGTGTAAGAAGCCGATAAAATTCTTCAGTGTACTCGTCAACCGAGCGCGACCCTTGTCGTAAATTCTGGAATGTTTGATAAATAGTGCGGGTATAATTAAACGGCAAAAATTCGCGTTCGAGATGCTTATGGAATTTCGCCCAAGAAGTAATCTTTGGTTTGCCCATGCGATGTCGCGCCCCCTTAAACTGTGTGAACCAGGCCGCAGCCCTACCCCTCAAACGAGTCGCGATCAAAGCCACCCGCCGATCATCGGGGACCTCCTTGAAGTCGAGAATCGACTCCACAGCAGCGAGCCAATCGAGAAACTCCTCGGTGTCGAGCCCGCCCGAAAACTCAGGTACCTCTATCCGAAAGCTCGACTCCCAGCGGTTGTCGCTGCCTTCGCCAGCGCGACGCTGTCCGCGAGGGACGTCCCAGCCCTCGTTGTCCTAGTGTACCGAACGGTGCTCGCCATGGTCATCTTCCCGTTGCTCCCGTCGGACGCCGAAGGGGTTGGTGTCCCAACACAACTCGGAAAATGAGATTGCGATAATTATTTTCTTCTTATAATGTTTTAGTTTTTTATGTTTTTTGAAACCATTCAAATACCCCTGTTGAATTTAATTATTATTTGAACTTAAACTGATAAAAATGTTCAAGGTTAAAATGCATGAAAAATGATACTTTATTTGCAATATTGTCATGTATTCATTTCTTTTATTAAAATAATTAAAGCCCGGTAAATACTAAATCTTGACTTCCTCCCCTGACGGCAAAAACACCCACGCACAGACGCCTTTACACACAGTCCACACATACCATCTAATTGTCTTCTTCATCGCCTTCGACCTCCAACCTCCGCCTCCACTTTCCATTCATGGTCTCCGTCCATGCATTGCTTCTCGCTCTCCATCCAAGAGTCGAAGCTGGAAGTTCACGAAGAGATAGGGCGGGCACAGTGACAGCATCTGCGATCGGCTATGGAAGCATTAACGGCACATGAATTGGGAAAAACCCTAAATTTCACAAATAGAAAGCTTGAGGGGTTTTTAGTCTCCAGTTGGGAGACAATTCTGTTGCCATATAAACACAACCTCCATGCATGTAGAAAGAAAAACGGGTCCACTGCCACTTTAATTTGTCTTCTTCTAATGTTTATTGTTTTCTAGTGATACCTATTGTAAGTTTCCATGTGTCTCCTTTCTACATGTTTCCTTTAACCTAGCATTATTTAAGGATTGTAAAATTCTAGGAAAATACGAGCAGCCGCACTGTACTCAATTTCATTTTATAAAATCGTGATCTGAAATTCTGTGATGAACTGAAGTTTAACCATGAGAGCTTGATTCCTTAAATGTTTTCATGGTATCAGAGCTGCAGGTTAAAACCTGTGGTCTCTGATCAATCTTCTCCCCTTTCTTTTTCTATTTTTTATTCCCGTTCATTCTTGATTTGAAACTATCGAGAAAACATGGCAACACCAGAATCCACAACCATACAGCTGCAAGGTCAAGTGGTGACAGCCAAGCTATATATCTAAGAACAATTTCTTGGTCTGGAAGCAACAAATACAAGCAGCCATCAAAGGATATGGCCTGGAGAATCACATCTCAGGAGCAGAACCGCCTCCAACAACGATCACAAACACCAATGGTAATGAGGTACCAAATACAGCTCACTCTTTATGGATTAGACAAGACCAGCTCATTGTGTATTGGTTATTATCTTCCCTTTCTGAGAGCACCCTTATTACCACCGTTGGTTTGGAATCTGCCTTTGAGATCTGGGACAATTTGGAAACATCATTTGCTAGCCAATCAAGAGCTAAAGTCATGCAATATAAAGTCCAACTCCAAAACCTCAAGAAAGGAGGTATGAGCATGATGGAGTATCTAAACAAAGTGAAAGCTTGTTGTGATGGACTAGCTGCTGCAGGACAAAAGCTGTCTGAGGAAGAACAAATCACACACATATTAGCTGGGTTGGGAAGTGAATACAACCCGATCATGGTCTCTATTGGATCTAGAATTGAGCCTTGCAGACTAAGAGAGCTACATACCCTTCTTTTGAGCTTTGAAAGTAGACTTGAAACATTTGAAATGCCACAGCTGGGAGTAGATGGATCTAGTCCAATGGAGAATTTCACCACAACCAATCAAACTGGAAGGAGAGGATGCTTTAACAACTTCAGAGGAAGGAGCAATAACAACAACTTCAGCCCAAGAGGTGGTAGAGGTGGCTATGGAAGAACAGGACCCTATAGGGGTAGAGGTGGTAGGTTCAACTCCAAACCAAAATGCTAAATATGTCACTTGATGAACCATACTGCAGATAAGTGCTGGTGCAAAATGGATATGAACTTTGTGCCTGAGAACAGAAACCAGTACAACCAAGGAAACACATTTACTAATTCACAGGGACAATCTTCCTACACCTCTCAGAGCAAATCAGCCAATGTGGCTAGCATGCCACCATTTGAACAGAACCAAGACACCTTTTGGTTTCCAGACTCAGGTGTCACCAATCACCTCACTTATGACATGGAAAACTTAAGCATGGCCTCTGAGTACACTGGAGGAGAGAAAGTTCACATGGGAAATGGATCAGGTTTGAACATATCCAATATTGGTAGTTCAATAATTCAATCTCGCAACACTAATAAAAAAATAGCTCCTCCTAAAAAACCTTCTCTTTGTCCCTCAAATTGCCAAAAACCTTATCAGTGTTTGCCAATTCACAAAGGATAATGATGTATATTTTGAATTTCACCCCCAATATTTGCCTTGTGAAGGACCAGGAAACAGGAGCAACTCTACTCCAAGTGACTGTTAAGGATGGCTTATATTGTTTCAATTTGTCAACTCTCAATGGTTATCACTTGCAGCCTTTAAACCTTGCAAATAAGAGCTTAAATTTTTCTTTTTGCCCAACAGCCTGTTCTACTGTTACTTCAAAAAAATGTGATCTCAATACTTGGCACTCTAGATTAGGTCATGCTGCCATGGAAACTGTAAAGAAAGCTTTAAACTCTTGTCACATTCCTTACTTTGCTAATGAAAATGCTACTCTTTGTTCCTCATGTCTTAAGGCTAAAAGCCACAGATTGTCATTCAATGATTCCACTTCTTTGCATGTTAAACCATTTGATTTGATATGTACTGACCTTTGGGGACCAGCTCCCGTTAAATCACACCGTGGTTATTCCTATTATATTTGTTTTGTTGATCATCACACCAGACATACCTAGGATGTACTTGCTTAAGAACAAAACTGATGTAGGTGTTGTCTTTCATCACTTTCACAAACTGATACAAACACAATTCAACACACCAATCAAATGCTTTCAAAGTGATGGTGGGACAAAATTTAAGCCCCTATCAACCTTTTTTCAGCAAAATTGCATTTTCCACAGACTTTCTTGCCCCTACACACCCCCACAAAATGGCCTTGTTGAAAGAAAAAATAGGCATATAGTTGAAACTGGTATATCCCTCTTAGCCAATGCTTGCATGCCATATGTTTATTGGGACCATGCTTTCACAACTGCAGTCCACCTTATAAACAAGCTTCCCACAAAAGTTCTCTTTTTCAATCACCATTTGAGAAGTTGACAAAAGCAAAGCCTGACTATAACTACCTAAGGATTTTGTTTATGTTATCCCTTTACAAGACCTCTCAACAAACACAAGTTAGAACATAGATCACGGCCCAGTACCTTCCTTGAATATAGTCCTTCCCACAAAGGCTATAAAATACTACTTCCCAACAAAAAGGTTATCATTTCAAGACATGTTGTCTTTGATGAAACCATTTTCCCATTTTCCCAAACTCCCCACATACTTGATTCCTCTATTCACAACCAACATTTTTCAGTGTTACCTCTATTTCAAATCCCTTCCCATCCCACAACCTCCTCGCCAGT